AAAGCTGGAGGGTGAGGGTAAAGTATCACACTGTAGAAGAAATGCATGAGCATGTACACACACACACACACACACACACACACACACACACAGACAGACAGTCTGTTAACATCAGCCTTTAGGAAAAGTCCTACACTGGGTAAGAAAGAAAATGGAAGTAGGCAAGAATTGTTATATAGCTACTTTAAAAATTTTCCTGAAAAATAACATGGTAATGTTGATGTAACTCTATAGTAATGAAATCAGCTTTCATGGATAGTTGCAAAACTAGATCCATTATCTTAAATGTCAAACCACTTAATGCTATGATTTCTAGCTCAGTGACAGAGAATATTGAGGGATTTGCACATACTGGTAAACTTCATGCAATCGTTAGGCACACATGAATCTGCACCAAGGTTAACCAACATAGGTTAATAAAATGTACCTTGTTAACCCTGACTTCTGTTTAATTAGGAGCATCTGTATGCTTCACTAGCCGATAAATTCTAGCAATTTTGTTTACTTAGAAAGATTCATAATAATGTAGCTTAATGATGCATAGAATGCAGATCACATGATTCCATTTTACAAGCATTTTTTCAGAATGCTATGTCCTCCACCTGGAATGTTCTCCATAATCAAAAACTGTCAACGATTGAAAGCCAACCCTTGAGATTACCTAATGAAAACCTTCCATTTATGGATAACAGAACTGAGACGCAGACTTATCCAAGGCCATTTCTGAGTAGATAATAAAACTAGAATAATAACATAGCTTTCAACTCTCAATTTTTGTTCTGTCCTCTACCCATCTTTTAAAACTCAATGCAAGCCCCGCTATTACAAGAAGGCTTCTGTGACCCCCCCAGTGATTTCTCACTTTGATGAATCCCTAATCATGATATATATTATGCTATTTAGAATTTGATTAAAAACTTGTCACTCCCAATATTATGCTGCACTCATATATCTCTAAGAATGTAATGATCTCTTATGGACAAAATTCATATTTTCTGATTATCTTAGCTATTCCAAAGTACCTAACAAAATCATGTGCTCCAGTCCTTATCTTATAACATACTTCTCCCTCCTTTAAGGAATTCAAGCATTTTGGTCCTCATCACTTCAACCCTACCATCCTCAGTAATGTCAACTTTCATGTACATGACTTTTTCAATTATAGACATACACTAGAGGACAGAGACTGCATCTAGCTCATTATTCCCAACGACCTTCACCGTCACCTGGCCTCAAGTCTCAAGCAAACATTAGTACATGTTCCCATTGCTCAGAAATATTCTACCTCCCATATCTCCATGTGTAAAATTCCCATTTCTGAATGTAGCCTGTTATCCTTCCATATCTTTGACTTCCTCACTCACTCCCATAGAATTTGCCATCCTCAATCCTTCTCCTTTTCCTGTCTACTGTGTCTCTTCCAGCTTCACTTGACACCCTATCCTGATATGTTTGAGCTAATGCTTTTATTTCTTTTCTTCCTTTGACCTGCAAACTTTTGAAAAGGAGACTCCATATAAACTCCCTTCTCCTCCTTGCTACCAATTCAGTCTTTAATCCGTTGAAATTCAGGTTCTGCTTCAGCTCTTATTCTAAGACCACAAATGGTCTTACTGATAAATCTGTGAGCCTTCTTCATTCCCCCTGTTCTCTCTGAAACACTATTGACCATTCTCTCCTTCTGGATACCCTTCTCCCTCCTTGAGTTTCTCTTCATAGCATTCTGTTATTTGTTCTCTACCTCTATAGTTTCTCTGTGTCTCTTTCACTGACTGCATAGGTGCCTCCCACTCCTAAAATAATCTCAGCCCCAACATTATCCCAGTCATCATCACATATACATTACTTGCTGGACACCACCACAAGGATGCCTAACATATATCACAAATTCAACCTAAACAGCAAACTCTTTTTTTCCACCCTATACACGCAACACACACCAGACACCCCATTTCGCTGATGACAATGTAATCCTTTCAGCCTAACAGGCTGACAGTTTCCAGATCACCTTCCCTTCCTTGTGCTACAAATCTAATCAGTTGCCAAATCAATTTCATTTCTATTTTAAACATTTTTCAAAAGCTCCTCTTTAGTGTAGTTTTCCTTTTCTTTCTGCTACATTGTCCTAGTCCAGGCCCTCATTATGTAGCCCCTGAGCACCCCAATAGCTCTGGTTGGGAAAATAGGACTGAAACCTAAAGTCAACATCAACACAAAGTAATATATGCTAAAGGATATGTGAAAGGGAAAAAAAAAAAAAAAAACAGATCCCTAACTGGCTATGCAAAAGTGCAAAAGTCAGATCTGGACACAGATATGTTTCATCTGACCGGAAAATCATTTTTACACTATTGAGCCAACTTTAAGGGAAGACAAAATAAAAATCAATATGTTCAGGTTTTCTGGTAAAGGGGGTGATCTGGCAACATTAGGGTCTAGTCCATTCAGTGTAGCTGTCAACCGGAGCTGAGTTGCAGTCTCCTCCTTAGACATCTGCTCTCCAAGGCCCCATAGGCATCACCATTCCCTAACTTCACTCAATTACTTACTCTCACCTGGCCCTACTCAGTCATGCTTCTTGGTCCCTGTAGGTGGCCGAGTTTGTAAATTCTGTTGTAAAAGTCAGTGCTAAGGGTTTTTGATGGTAAGGATGCTCATTGTGCTCAGCGTATATCCTTGACACCTAACACTTTATCTCTCACGCAGTAAGCACTCAATAAATGTTGGGAGAAAGTTTTGGAGGTGACTGTGGGCAGGCAAAGTACAAAGGCACACAAAGAAAACAGGATTTAAATTGAGCCTTGGCCAAAACAGGTGGATTTGATTAACATACAAAGAGAGAGAAAATAATATTTGAGACAAAGAATATTCTGTGTTTTAATCCCAAATTTGGTACTGCTGTTTAATCTTATTGTTTAATTTACTTAACTTCTTTGAGCCTTGGTTTCCCTGTCTGCTGAATTAGGATAACATATATGTCATAGTGTTGTTATAACTAAGGTAAATTGCTCAGTAAGATTCAATTACTGAAATACTGGAATTATTGAGATAAATTACACAGTAGAATTCAATAAATAGTAGTTATTAACAACAAAATAATAATAATAATAACTCCCTGAATAAAGCCACCAATAGAGGTATATGGTCAGGGCATGTGGGTAGCCCAATTAGACCGAAGCAAAATGCTTCACAGAGGGAAATAATGATAGATAAAAAAGGAGAGAGAGATGACAGAAACCAGAGTCGGTTGCCATTTCTCTCTCCAGCCAACTCAAATCTTAAAGCTAACAAATGCATCACTGAATTTCCTATGGTGTGTAACAAAGGCCAAGGACTGTGACCTGGTCCTCCCAGTAGAAAGTGCTTTGAATCAGATACACATAGGTTCTAATATCAGGGCTGGCACTTACTAGCTGAGTAAACGAGCCAGATTGTTAACTGTTCTAAATCTCAGTTGCCTTATCTATAAAATGGGGATGGATGGCCTTTTAAAATAGGGTTGCTGTATTAAACAAGTAATATATATGCTAGACTCATGGTGGAAACTCAATAAATCTTAGTTCTTTAAACTGTACTACGGTTGTACCATCATGTGCTATCTATCCTCTGTCCCTTTCTTTTCTTTCTCTCCTGTTTGTATTTGCCACCCATGTTTTTCTCTATCTCTTCTTTGCCAGGCTCTTTTGCCTCCTTACCTATACCTAGTGTGTTAGGTGTTTACTAAGATTAATCTCATTCAAAAGCATTTATAGAACCCTTACTGTAAGTCAGGTACTATGCTAATACACATGTTAGCACAGCTCCCTCTACTGGCCTTGGAAGTACTTCAAGCTCATTTTCATGTATGAGTCACGTTCCTTCCAGGTAAATCAGTTCGCAAAGTATATCAGCTTGAAGTTAAACAAGGCCACATCCTGAGCTAAACTATGCTCACATTTTCTGTAGTTCCAAAAGAGTATGTGTGGGCATAACATAGAGAAGAACCAGGAAACCTGCGATAGGTATCACTGGAACTGCAGGAAGCATTTGTGAACAACAGTAGAGGAACAAAAGTTAAAGGACAGCCAGGCATATCCTTTGACCCATTAATTATATCTGTCAATTTCACCTGAGGAAATAATTATGGATATGCACAAAGATTTAACTATAAAATATTCCTTCTAGACTTGTCTGTAAGACTACAAAAGTAAAACAAACCTTAACATCTAACAACAGATTAATTCAATTGTGGTTTACTCATGTAAGCTATTAATGAAGCGTGTCACAGAGGAATATTCATTAACAAGGAAAGATGCCCAGGCTGTATTATTAACTGAGAAAAGCAGGTTGCAAGACAAAATATATGAATGAACCTGTGTTTGTAAGTATATATGAATAGAGAAAATTCTGGAAGTCAAGCGAGATGTTAATGATTGACTCTGAAGGTGGGATTATGAATTTTTTACTTTTTGTTTTGTGTTTCTAGCTTTGTTTCCATGTACCACTTTTATAACAAGAAGAAATATACACACGCGCACACACACACTAGTGTTCTGTGAGTGGAGACAGATGACAGCTGGAAAACTAGCAAGGTGGATGGATGATGATTAGATAAATAGATAGATAGATAGATAGATAGATAGATAGATAGATAGATAGATAGATAGACAGACAGACAGACAAGGTAGATAGATGCATGGCCAGCTGGATGGATGGATGGATGGATGGATGGATGGATGGATGGATGGATGGATGGATGGATGGATAGAGAGATAAGAGAGATAGAGAGATAGACAGACAGATAGATAGATTAGATATAGATAGATAGATAGATAGATAGATAGATAGATAGATAGATAGATAGATAGATAGATGGATGATCTCCACACGGGAGGCACATCAAGCCAGATGTTTAGGGAGACAATGTTTAATGAGGCTTATGGGGTATCATTAGTAACAGGTTAATGAAAACAGGCAAAGGTCCTGCAACTTGTGTCGGAGCCTGTTCTTTTTGCCATCAGGTCGACGCCCACGGTAACATTCTCCTCAGCACCCTGGAAATCCGGAATGAGACGAGTGGCTCGGAAGTGCTCACGAGCGTGAGTGACCCCAAGGCCACCATGTACTCCTATGACAGCGCCAGCATCCAGTACCGCAAGCCTCTGAGCAGCCGTGAGGCCTATGGGCGCACCCTGGACCGGCACGGGGTGCCCAGCAAGGGGCGCATCCGCAGGCGCGCCTCCCAGCTCAAAGTCAAGATCCCCGACTTGACTGACGTGAATTCCATAGACAAGTGGTCCCGAATGTTTTTCCCCATCACTTTTTCTCTTTTTAATGTCGTTTATTGGCTTTACTATGTACACTGAAGTCTGTTCTAATGGTTCCATTTAGACTACTTTCCTCTTCTATTGTTTTTTAACCTTACAGGTCCCCAACAGCGATACTGCTGTTTCTTGAGGTAAGAGATTCAGCCATCCAATCGGTTTTAGGTCTTGCATATCAGTTTTATTACTGCACCATGTTTACTTCAAAAAGACAAAAAAAATATTTTTTTCCAGTCTACCTTGGTCCAGGTTATCGGCTCTGTAAGAGCTCTATTAATTGCCATGTTTACAAACAAACAAACAAAAAGAGAGAAGTTAAATAGGTAGATCTTTAGCAGTCTTTTCTAGTTGCCCTGAATTTTACTGATTTATTTTTTAGGGAAAATGAAAAGAGGACCTTGCTGTCCACCTGCACTACTTCCTGGTAAACTGTAACAATCTTATGCTGCCAAAAAAAACCCAAAAAACAAAAAAACAAACAAAAACAAACAAACAAAAAAAAACAAAAAACAAAAAAACAATTTCCAGGATCTCAGAAGAAAAAAACAAAGCCATTGATAAGTTACGGATTTCCAGGAAGAAGGCAACAGAAAAAGGAGCTTAGAAAGGGAAAGAAGAGTCCCTTCTATCCTTAAGTTCTCCCGTGTCCGTTGTAAAAGGGCTCCACAGCTCCATAGAAGAGGAAAGGAAGGGCAAGTGCTAGTCAAGGTTACACAATACCAACCTGCCATCTTCACCGCACCATTAAGCTGGATATTCTGAAACATGCTTCTTTCTCAGACTTTCCGGCAAATTTTAAATTAACATTAGAATCCAACCTGGTCGACCTGGTAGCCATTGAGAACATTTTTCTTTTCTTCTTGAGAATAAGGAGGCAATGGGAGGGAATGACCATTTTTCTAACTGGCCATTTCAAACATGCAGCCCTGAATTCATCTCATCAGTCTGGAACCCCCTGATGCTGTGCCAGGAAGCCATGCCACCCCAGTTCCATAGTTCCTGCTCCAGAGAGTGTGGGAGGAAGGGGATGGTGAGCAATTTTTGCTTGAGAAAAATATTGCGCTTGCCATTAGGAAGGCAAGATTTATGTGCTGTGAAAAGGGTGCCTGGGCAGTTATCTGAACTGCCAAATCTTAAATCAAATAGTATATATTTCTTTGCCTTCTAGAGAGCAGTATCCAATGGTGACAGGCTAGTCACACAGGCCTCAGCTGCCACTTTATGGCTCTGCTCTCTGAGCTCTGCATTCCAGACTGGAATTAATGCTTTGGAAAATACACAAACACCCATGTTGGTGTCATTCCCCTTCAGGACCAGATTTCCATTTTAAAGAAAATCTTGAAAATAGCAGAACTACAGATAAAAACAAGAGCAATGACAAAAGCAGTGGAGCTTCCAACACGTGCACGAGTCCCTAAAGAACAGACCCTGTCTACACTCATTAATCACTGTCATTGCTCCTCTGCCTTATCTCTGCTTGTGGATTACTCTTGGCCATGGTTCTCATAGAAGGGGCATCCTTCAGTAGCCCAACATAATTCTAAACATGTCCAACCAGCTACAGTTGAGATTCTTCCCATGTTATGTCATTGAAACCTTGTCCTTTTATTTTTCAACCTTAATATCTAAGAATTCTGTGTGTTCATTTGCAAGACTGAATGAAACTGTAAGCTAACCAAACGGTGATGCAGGAAGTTTGGGACCTGACCCATGAGTGTGAAATAAGGGTTGAGGCAGCAATAGGGACAATGGCCTGGCTTAATGATCTAACTTTTTCCCTAAGACTGTGATGAGGGTCCATGTTTAAAATAGCATCAGCTTCTGGAAGTTACAGACTTCACTGACAGATGATGCTGAATTTTTACTGATGAGCTGAAGGGGAGAAAGTAAAGATATCCTTTTAGAAAGCAAGAGGAAAAGGGAACCTCAAAATAAATGATAGTTAAGGCTAAAGATAATATATGTACAAAAACTCTGCTTTAACTAGAAAAAATGATCTCAATGGTTTCATGAGAAAATAGTGGGGTTATAGGGACCATATATTTATTTAGATTTTTAGTTGTATTATCACGCTTTCCTGGTCAAGGAAATCCCCAGCCTTAGGGCATGAAGTCATCCATTTTGAAACTCTTTAGTCCCTTGGCAGGGTGAGATGCTTTGCCATCATAAAATGGCCAAATAGAGTGGCATGTGGCCACGTCAGTGATTGTAAGGTTAATATTCCGTAATGACGACAAAGGAACCACTGTGCAGCCATTTATTTTAAACACAGGAAGGAAAATTGTTAGCTGATGCCTAATAAAAATGAATCATTCTGGGTGTCAAAGCTCTTTTAAAAGCTTTTAAGAATGAAATGCTAAATCAGAAAGGAAGTATCTGTAATCTATATTCCTTAACAAACAATTTATTTTATCTATTTAGATTATTCTTCTTGGGAAAGATTGAGAATATTTGTATTTTTATTATATTTTTATCTTGCCTTTAAAAATCTAACGATTTTGATGCTGTAGTTTTAGATGTAAAGCATCTTCGAGAAAAAAAGAGAACATTTTGAATTCATATCTTAACCTTTGTAAAATGTAAACTTATTAAGCCTGAATCTACCCATCAGGCACAAAATGGCGTCACCATATGCCCTCCTGGTCAGTAGAGGGGCCACAGTCAGCATTATGCAAATCCTGTTAAATAGCTGATTTTAGACGCAATGGCAGCCAGAAGAATGGAGAAGCTGCTAATATTTACGGTTAAAGACCTCTGTCCCCACTTCTTTCTGGACACCTCTAGGCCAAAGTCTTCCCTCCTTGGCTCCACTCCTAGCCAAATCCTCCCCTTTCAGGCTGAACAGTGAATAGGAAAAAAAAAAAAAAAAAACTTCCTTCTCTGGCTGTCTCTCTTGTCTTGCCCAAAATCATGTACATAAAACATAAATGTTGTTGGACATTCTTAAGTGCCCTCAAAACTGGCCCCATTGTTGAAAGATTCAGATTATTACATGATAGAGGGATTATTATTCAATCACTACTGGGGTTGTTTTCTTTTTGCCATGAAAATAGCCATAATCCCCTGCATTACTTAAGCTGAGGAAGAGGCTGAAAGTTACACAGACCCACTCTCTGATGTCCAAGTCATGTCCAAGTAACCCCACGTTTATAGTTCAGAAACTGTGACATAAACTGTGTCATAAACTTCACTTGTGAAAGCCCCATGGAAATTCCATCTTTCACTGGACAGTGATGACTGCATACTCATTCCTTCCAATCATGTTCCTCGGCTTAAAATATTAGGGGTGACATGTGCATTATACTTACCAGTTTTGTGAAGCAAAGATCCAGGTCAAGACATATTTTTGGCTTGAATTATCCAGGATTATTGCCTCTGTTTTCTACATTGCCAAATAGAAACAGCAGATTGGTTGGTAATTCTGCCAACTGAATGATATGTGTTTTCATACACGCCATCTTTATTGTGCATTATAATCAACAAAGGGTCTTGAAAATGCAAAGAGAAAAAAATGTGGTGCAGAGAATAAACTTTGGTTTAAGGGTCCAAGGATAGACGTTCCTTAAAAAGCATTATGTACAATACATAGAAATGTTGACTAAATTCCATCTTTCTAAAATCAATGACTATTTTATAAATATTAAGAAAGAATTCAATTACAATTTGCCAAGTTAAACAAAAAAAGATATATTTATAATACTTCTAGAAGGAAATAATCTCCAAGATTTCTTATATGGACAATTTTGAATAGTATCTTACCAAAGGGTGATGTGTCACCATTGTCTTTCCTAAACAAAGTAAATCATATATCTGAGGGAGGGAGAAAAAAGGAATGTACAAGCATTTGTTCATGGTGGTTCAATCAGCATTATTGGGATGAGGGGGACAGAAAAACAAACAAATATATCTGTTTCCTGAAAGCAAGCAGTGAACATAAAGATAAATTTGCTAATGGAATGTAGACTATTATGTAAACTTCCTTGTAAATTCTGTACATAGTTCATTGAACTGTTCCCTGTTGCGTGGTGGTCCTCAGCTTTGGGTGAATGTTCAAAAAATCTGAGCATTGTAAATAATGTAAGCTTATAAGGTATTTGCTTTTCTTCATGAAGTGAAATGACTAGTGATTTGGGCCCAAACCAGAATCTTTTTAGCTCTTGCTCTTTCTCTGCCATTTTGTGTGTGCAGTTGTGTAACTCTGCTGCAAGCCATAGCCAGGTGTCTGTGATCACTGCCTCATCCCCCTACCCCACTGAAAGGGACAGCAGCTGATGAGAAGGCTGCAAGCCTGTGGGGCTTGGGAATAGCGCACCAGCAGAAACGGAAACTGTAGCAAGCTGCTCCTTGAACTGCATCATAAAGAGAATTGTCTTTATCAGTCATTCATGGCTATTCATATGTTCAGATACTGAATTATTCATGCCATTGAGGGGGTCAGGAATGGAAGAGATATTCAAAATCCACAGGTAATCCAAAGCTTTATTTGCACCAATAGCTTTAGCTTCTAACTTGTTCCCTTCCAGTTTCCCAGAACTTCTATTAAGAATAGAAGTGAATGGATGGGTTTGATCAGGGTAAACAGCCAAATGTCCAAATAATGGGAAAGAATAAAGGAAGAGACAGTAAATGATTGATAACACCAACAGACTGAGTCATTCCTGAAAGATCCAGAGGTAACCATGTCATTATTTTTTAAAGGCAAAGAGAAATATTGTTATACACTGGGATTTGAAACTAGTCTTTTTGAACAGACATGGTGATTCATGCCTGTAATTCCAGCACTTTGGAAGGCCAAGGTGGGAGAATCACTTGAGGCCAGGAGTTTGAGACCAGCCTGGACAACATATCAAGGCCTGTCTCTATTTAAAAAAAAAAAAAAATTAGCTGGGCATGTTGGCGTGCACCTGTAATCCTAGCTACTTGGGAGGCTGAGGTGGGAGGATCGTTTAAGCCCAGGAGTTCAAGTGAGCTATGATCATGCCACTGCACTCTACCCTGGGCAACAGAATGAGACTCTGTGTCTTTAAAAAAAAAAAAAGAGAGAGAGATAAAGAAAAAACAAATATATATATATATATATGTATGTATGTATTTGGGATATGTGTGATATGTGCTAATTAAACTTAAAAGAGTCTGGTAATTAAATGTTCTCAAATACATTTCTCCCAAGTATTGGTATTCCTGAAAAAGTCTTCAGAATGGTGGGATATTATGCCACAAGATGTGTTTCCATGCAAACTGGCAGTCCCAGGGACAGCAATGGTGTATATAGATATTTAGAATATCTAAACCAGCTTGTTTCTGAGTAATGTTTTAGAATGGACATCATCTTTCTTGGAGGTAAGAACTTTGCAAGGTAGGACTTTTTGTGCCAACATTCTAAGTGCCAGGAGGGTTCAGTAAGCCATCACTTTGAGATATATTGGTTCTAAAATTTGCCACCT